ATGCTTTTGAGATGTAGGCCTTTGGCCAACGATGATGTTGTATTAAGATGTTGTTAATTTTGACGTTGTTATTACATTCATGATTGCGTCGCATACATTGCATTTTGAGATGGAGCTTATGCTCGTTGAGATGGTCTGTATTGGCGAATATTGAGAAGAAGGCTTATGCCTTGTTGATGTCTCTATTAATTGGCAAATTTTTGAGATGGGAGTTCTGCTCCAAATGGTACCACATGCATTTGCATAGTATTGAATCATATTATATGACTGCATAAAGAAGCGTGTATTAATATGGTGAATGTGTATTATTATTGTTGATTATGAGATGAGAAGTGGTGATGTTATGTGATCTAATTTAATATATTAATTATCATGTGCTTTATTATATTGTTAGATATCTCACCCCTTCTGTTTGAATATTGCCCTTATGTTGGTAACATGCAGGTAATCGAGAGTGAATGTTGTATACCTTCAGTAGTTCGAGTCGGTGTCATTGCTCTGATATGTAACACTCGGGGGGATGAACGCTTGTTGCTTTTGATTGTTTATTATTCAGTTGTTGAATTTTAAGTTGATTATTATTAAATTGTGTTGTTTTAAAGTTGTTGTAATGATGACAGAGATGTTATTAAGAATTTCCGTTGCGTAGATGTTGAATTATTTAATTAAAGATGTCATGACGATGGTTCATCTGATGTTTTAAAAGTGTTATATATCCACGATGAATGCAATGAATTTTGATAGAAGAATTTGTGGCATCCCGATTCGTTTGTATGAATGATTTTTATAACTCTGATTTATTTATATAATTTGCCGGGGTAGAATTGGGGTGTTACAGAAGACATTGTTGTAGATTTGAAAAATTGATGAAGCTTTCAATAGAAATGAGAGCGTAAATTAGAGAAAAATGTGAAGATTTCTGGGTTTGTAAAAGAAGAAAGAGAAAAAAAAAAGTAAAAGAGATGAACTTTTATAGTGGTCAGTGGAAGAGTTAGAGGTTACACCTCAAGGAGTTAGTGGGACACGTGCCAGCATCTTGTGAAGAAAGGTGAAAGACCACTATTTATTTTCTTGGAAGTTGATACATAATGATGTTTAAACTGCTGCACGCACATCTTGATGAGACGTTTTAGAAAAGTAGTCATGATTAACTGTGACGTCAGAAATTAAAGGAAAACGAAAGGTTGTTAGTCGAAATCTGGTGATTACAAGAAATGCCCATTTTTGCACTAATTCGAAATAGATATTTATTGGGGGAAATTTGTTAGCTGAAGATTTCGATATTTGATGAAAGTTGATTTGAGAAAATCATGTTTCAAAGGATGACATGAAACTTGGCCTTATAAGGTTATTTTATAAAGTTTATTCTTATAGTTTTATATGTCGAAGTGCAAATCAGAGTCAAAAGAATGAAATCATATTTTAAGATATGTGAAGATCACTTCGACAGTCACGTTAGATGAATTCAAAGCTTCGAGCGGGAAAAATTTGAAATTCAAACTGATGCGTTTTCTCCAGGAGGACGCATGGAAGTGTCATAATGTTTGCGTTTGAAAATGTCGAACGTGGCGTGATCTCATAGAAAGACTGCCAAGGTCGAATTAGTATAAATATGAGTCTTAGATGTTAGGATTCAAAGGTGTTCACATTGTATACAAATTATTTAATACTAAAAGTACCAGAGCGAGAGAAAAGAGTTTGCTGATAATGTATGTGTAAGAACATCATCAGTTTATTTAAAGTCATTTTCTCAATACAAAGTTACTTTAATCACTTTCTTATTTTTTTTGTTTCAGTCAAGTCTTTAACAAAATTTGTTGAACTTTCCTTATTAGCATCGTCTTTACATTCTTGCAAATAACCAGATCATTTCCTTTAAGTTACATTTAGGATTTATAGTGAAACTTTAATATCTTAGGATAATCATAATCACATAGAAAGGTCTTGTTATTATTCATATAATGCCAAACTTTGAGTCAGATTGTAAAAACACTAAGATAAATATCCTAGGATCAATCTAGTCGATCCTATAAGTTACCAAAACGCAGAGTTTAGAAGACTAGTAGTTGTTTGTCAGAAATCACTGATAAACACCTTTATGACTCTTTAGTCGAAGAATCTTTTAAATCATATGGTAGGGAAAGAGAAATACTTTATATAAACATGAATATGTACCTTCTATTTAATCAACGTCAAGAGAAATACTTTATTCATTCTTTATTAGAGTACATAAGCACTTGATTGGTTTTCTATTTTGACTTAATGCTTTTCATTTTAATCAAGAATATAACAAAATTCTAGTTTAATGCCATTAAATTCAAAATTCTATTGATATGAAATTCTTGTCTCATAAATAACATGACATGATAAAATTATGGTATGATCACTTTAATGATGGTTTGGTTGATATACCGGTCTAACCCCTTAAATAATTATAAGATTTCAATTTAATCACTTAATTAAATCGATAAACTATCATGTCAGATCATCAAAAGTTAATATTTTTTTCTGAATATTTAACATAAATAATTAAGTTGACTAACAATATTATTTTTAAAAGATTAAACAGTAATATTTATTAAATAAAAACTAAAATAAAATTAAAAAACATCGTCATTAATTAAACTTTACTTTTATCATTCTCTTTTTTCATTTAATGTCTATTTATTAAAGAAATAAAATTTATTAAGTTTTATAAATTTGAATTTGAACGTAAAAATCAGGTACAGAAATGTCAAATTTGGTCTCCACGTATGTATACACATCTAGTACATTTGATTTGACCAATCAGCAGAGTCAAATAAAAGTGATCTATGTACACATTTTTTAATAAAATAAACATATATCATTTAGAAGTATTCAAAATTAAATAAAATAAATACCTAAAATAAAAAAAAAGTAAAATATTCCAACCCTTTATTACCTCATTTTATTGGATCACAACAAGTTTACCTAATTTGAACGCGTCCATAAACTTTGACAAATCAATTATTAAACCACACATTTTCCTTTCCGCCAGCCACAAAAGATTATAGAATTAGATTGCACATTTCTGTCAACACTTGAATTCAAAATACACACAACCTTCCGCGAATGGATGCACTCACGTCCTTGTTATTATTTTATCATCTATGAATACTATTTCAAAAGCAAGTGCAAAATTAAAATACTAGTCACTTATACAATATTATGAAAGCATCACCATATAATTTAGCACCAATTAATTTGTTAGTTAGTTAAATACTACTACCATGTTAACAAATTATATATTACTTTATAAAGAAATTATTCAAAATATTGTTTGAAAAATAAATTATAAATTAGTAAAATAAACTATAAATTTGCGATAAAAATATTACTACTAAGCAAATTTAAACAAACATGGTTGATAAATGTCTTTTCATCACGAGCTTAATAAGACACATTTTATAAATTATAAATTAATAAAAAAAACTATAAACTAATAATAAAAATATCATTATCAAATAAATTTTTTATTATCATACGAGTTTATAAACTATGTGTATTTATTTTTTGTTTTGTTTTACCCCATTGTGCATTTGAGGCCTTTCTATGATAATTATATAAAGTTACTTTTTAATTTTATAACTTCTAATTATCATAATTTTTAACTGTGATTTTGTCATTTTCTAAAAATACACCATAAACTATAGTCATTTAAAATTTGTTATCAAAAGGAAATTATTTTTGCTAAAAAATATTATTTTTAGATTTAAAATTGAAGCAATAAATTATCATTTTTAGAGCAATAAATCACTTTTTCTAAGTTAAAAATTTAGATTAAAATCAAAATTTTAACCAATATAATTAAAAACCAATTTTCAAATAAGGTTCAAATAAGGAAAAACTATAATCACGATTCTAATAAAACATTTAAATAAAAATGGAATGAAAATATTTTATTATTACAATTAGAAAGCAAGACTAATAAATAAATAAAAAAATAAAAAAAATAAAAGGATCTAAATTATTCTCATGAGCGTGTAAGTTGCGTTGTCTTTCTCGTCCTTTTTTGCTTCCATTTAACATTAAATTAATAACTCCGAAATTTTCTGCTGTATGTTTTTTTCCCCTCAAAGTAATAATTTTATTCTATTAATCTTTTTGATAATACATAACAACAACTCAGAAGAGAGGTCATTGCGATTGAAATTTCGATCTCTCTCTCTCACTTTCTCTCTCTTCTTTATCTCTCTACATTTCTACCGACGAACGAACGATTTTCTTCCGTTTGGATCTGATCAGGTTCGATCCGTTTTCCAGATCTGGCATTTCGGTTATCGATCTTGCGAGCTTTTTCTTTGATTTTCTTGTGATAATCGCTTTAATCTTTGCTTTGTTCATGATTTTGATTTTGATTAACAATGTTATTATGATTTTGATTTGTTTTAGAATTTTTCAGAATTTGAATTTGTTAGGATTAGGATTGGAAGATTTAGCTGTGAGGCTTTAATTTGTTGTTTTCTTTTGATGATTTTGATTTCTGATATTTTTTGATTGATTTCGATGCTCACGGACCTTGAATTTTTCATGATGCAATTTTTTTTCTTGTTTAATTTAGAATTTTAGTTTTGAATTTTTGTTTCTGAGATGTGATATGGTGTTTTGATGTGAATTTGATATTTCTTTGATCTTAAGAAATTCGCGTGGATTGTTTTTGTTTTTAATTTTGATTCAATTTATTATGTTGATTGAAATTTTTTGTATATGATTTTGTGTAATTGAATTGGAATAAGGATTGGATTTTCAATTGTTTACATGTTTGATCACTTGATGCTACTTTCTATTGCTGATTTTGAATTTCTTAGTTGCTAGGTTCAGAATATATATTTTGGAATTTGAGTTACCGATTTGTTGTTGTGAAACTCTGAGCTTTTATTTGGATACGCAGCGAAATTTGAAGTGGATTTTATTTTGTAGATAACAGTGTGAGCCTTTTGGTGCTGGCTTGTAGCTTGTACTGAACACCAGCTGCTACAATGAAGAAGGTTATTGGTCAAACTGTTAGGGACCTGTAAGTATATAATATATAGTTGCTACTTTGGGTGTTTATTACTATTTTAGACCTCAATCCTATTTCGTAATGTCTTACTTTTTGTCTGTTTTTGTAGTAAAAGAGAAGTGAATAAGAAAGTGCTCAAAGTTCCTGGCATTGAGCAGAAGGTAAAGTTTTTCTTATTTGGAAAGTTTGGTATGAAACTATGTATATGATTGTACATAGTGGGGGTGTAAGGATTTACATGAAGTATGATGATATTTTTATGTGAAATAGATGTTGTGTCCGTCAATTTTGTGTATTATAATCTTAAACTAAATTAGATTTGTTGATTTCTATCCCCTCTACCAGATTCTTGATGCTACAAGCAATGAACCATGGGGTCCTCATGGAACACTTCTTGCCGACATTGCTCAGGCAACCAGAAACCCGTAAGCTTTGGCCTCTCACTTTTATGCTAGATATTGTGTTTCACTGCATAGATTTTCATGTTTTAGTGGACCTGCAGCCATGAATACCAGATGATCATGTCAGTAATCTGGAAAAGAATTAACGACACTGGCAAGAATTGGCGGCATGTCTACAAGGTATTAGTTGGAATATTTTATGTTCTAGTTGTAAGTACTCTGGTGTTGCTTGTAATCTTCACCTTCTATTGTCCTAGTGCCATGTTCTATTTCATCAACACTTCAATGTTCCCCCACAAAGTACTCCATTTATTAAATTTGTCTTAAATTCTTAATGCATGTTTATACTCTATGAAAAAATGAAGGGTTGTTGCATGGTTGTACATTAAGAACTCTGTCTTTTTTTTCTTCTTCTGCATCATTTACTGATTGATCTTGCTATATTAAATAATTTCTATTTTCTTGTGTTTCTATATTAACTGCTCACTGTTCATGAACAGGCATTGACAGTACTGGAGTATTTGGTGGCTCATGGTTCTGAGAGAGTCATAGATGACATCAGAGAACATGCTTATCAAATATCGGTAATTTTTCGTTTCACTAATTTTTACCTAATATTTATATGCCATGTTTAGTCCATTGCCATGCAGGAAAATATTATATAATGCAACCTGATAAGAATGTAATCTTCATATGAACAGACTTTGTCCGATTTTCAATATATTGACTCCAGTGGAAGAGATCAAGGAAACAATGTCAGAAAAAAATCTCAGAGTCTCGTTATCCTTGTGAATGATAAAGAAAGAATCGTAGAGGTTAGGCAAAAGGCTTCTGTTAATAGGGAAAAGTAAGTCTCCTCTCAACAATGCTACTGATATCTTGAACATTGTTACTTTCTAGTTGTTATATAACTTTCACATCAATCCCCTTATTTTGAAAGTATCATGAAGTAGATTTTTACTTGCCTTCTTTCCAATTTTCCTCAGTTTTTGAAGATTCATAATCTTGCTTCATTATTTCTGGATTATAAATTTAAAAAGATTTAAAGGATATGCATGTAAAACACTATAAAACAGTTTTACACTGACATCCAATGAAAATTCTTTATTTTGCCACATCACCCCACTTCTTGTAAGATCATTTTTAAACTTGTGGGTACGACATGGAAAATTGTTGTATCTCATTGGATGTCTTTTTATAACTGACAGTATATATCCATTAAACTCAATCTAACATCACAATGAGATATTAATTTTCTTAAACAATTTACCAGGTTTCGTAACAATACACCAGGTGGAATGTATAGACCTGGTTCACACCCAAGCAGTGGAGGCTATGGTGATCGGTATGACGAAGATCGTTATGCAAGCAGGGAGGAAGATAGAAATGGCTATGGTTATGGAAGAGAAAGAGAAATGGGCTCTAGAGATGATGATCGGTACAGTCGCGATGGAGATCGTTATGGTAGAGATTCTGATGAACGTTATAGCCGGGACGGTTACAGAGATGATGACAGGGGAAGAAGTCGAAGTGTTGACTACCAATATGATACAAGAAGTAGGAGTTCTGATAGAGAGCGCGATTTCGATGAGGATGGCCAACAGTCGTCTCGGTAAGCCTATATAATAACTCTGATAAATTATTCTAATAAGTTTAATCCATGAAATCCGAAAGATAGTTTCTTTTAAAAGCGGTACTAGGAAGATCTCAAGGTCCATTTAACTCTCCCGCTTCTGCACTACACTGCACCACACCGAGTCTTTAGTCTTTTTATTAATTTTTTTCCCTTTTCTGAATTGGCAACTTAAAATACACACTATCCTAATAATCTTCATCGATGTGGAATATCTTCAGGTTTTTCTATATTAAGCATTTAGGAGCACCAAACATGACTCTTTGTTTAATAGTCGGAGTTCTAGAAGTTCGCTTATATTTGGATCCTAGCCTCATCTTCTTTTCTTTATGTTATTGCTTAAGGCTGATGAGTTATATGTTGTTCGTTAGGCAACTCTGATAGCTTTCATTTTTTTACCAAAATAAAGTTTATATCATCAAGCTTTTTCAGTGTGAAATTTTGATATATGGGGTGGACAACCCAAACCATTCATTTAGTATATGGTTTTGATCTTTATTCTAAATTGGATTAAAAGGAATCTAAATAGAGCAATTTATTCTTATTCTTTAGTCATACTTCCTCACTCCTGCTTAAATTTGTTGCTTTGAATTAAAAAAAAAAGAGATTGTACTGATTAGTTGCCAGCTCTAATCATCAATAAAAACAGATCTTAATAAATTTCTGTTCGACTATATTTGAAATATTTTAGTTGATGGTTAGTTTGTGTAACTAAGTAGTTCTCACTGCTAATCTCATTTCCAACAATTATCAATGAAAGCAAGTAAATTACAAAAGTAATGGTATATCAGAAGTACAAAACCTTAGCAATGTTATTAGAATTGCATTTGCTTTTTTTTAAACTTTTAGCGTGATAAACAAAATGAGGTCTTATGCTGAAGAATAGTAAGGTTTACATCTGTGCCCATTTAGAGTGTGGGTCTTGTGATTTTTGAAAAAAAAGGAAAATTTGCTGTGAACTAAACCTTTATTTATTCAGTACACTAATGAAGTTTACTTGAACATGGGGCTTGATACGATTTTATGTTGCTCTCTGTTATAAATCATCGATGCTTCTAACTTGACCTTTATATGCATTGTTTTCTCAGAGGCAGCAATGCTAAAGTTGAAGACCAATCACTGGAAGCAAGGTAAATTTGTCAGGGACATCCTCTCACTCTCTCGTGTACACATTGTTTCTAGGATCTTTATATTGATATTGTGCAATACCAATGATCAGACTTCAGCGGAAGCTTTCTGAGCAAAATGTGGGTGCTCCTCCTACATATGAAGAGGCTGTTGGTGAAGTTCGGAGCCCTGTGCAGGGTGAAAGGTATGAACTTCTATACCATGGACTGGCATGGCAACACTTGTTCAAACTGAACCTGTTTTGAATAATATCTTGATTGCAGGGATGTTGAACCTTCCGTAGAATCTGCTCCAAGAAGCTCGTCCCCTCATGAAAGTGATAATCCTAGCCTAACCTCTGCTCCCACTGGATCTTCTCCTGTAAGCAATAATCCAACTGAAGTAACTGCTGCTACCAGTACTGCTGCTTCTGGAACGCAGGAAACTGAGCCCACTGATGATTTCTTTGACCCGCGAGGCCCTACATCAGGTCTGTAAAATCGCTTGTTTTCATGTTATGTTGGTCAGTTGTGTAATGTACTCTTGTAGCTCTTTTCTTGTTTAAGAAACTCTCGTGTGTTTGTAATATTGAATTTTTATTTGCATTTATTTACCTTACATGCCAAAATAGCTGTATATTATGTTGTCTTTCCTTTGGGGAGTTGGATCTTGGGGGTCCCTTGGTTCAATTGTCAAACGCATATTTTATAATTTTCTTCTGCCTCTTCATTGCAAACACTGCTTTCTTTAAACTACCCTCGAGTGTTCTTGAGTATATATATCTTTGTACCCCCAGTCCTAATAACCCACTTTTCTGGTCCTAAACACTTTTATAAGCTTGCACCACTTGACAGTATGATATGTTTTACAGGTTTTTTTTTTGTTGCCATCTAGGGGTTCAGATTACTTGGAAGTAGGACATGGAAATAGGCGCTGACATCCCTTTATTGATTCTTTTGTATTTTTAGATTTCTATTATCAGGCTCGAGGTGTGTGCAGGCACCATTTATGCATTAACTTGGTGATCTTTTGAAATTGAACTGTAGGATCCATTAATAATAATTTCCTTGAATTCTATGGGGGGGAAGTTGGCCAATCACTAGTGTAGCTTATAATACAATTTTTTTCATTTATATCATATGTACGTATTTTGAGTAGCAGCATATAACTGAATAGTACAGCATGCTTTGTGGTAAAGATTCTATAGATTCATATATAACTTTGTCCAGTAGACTTGTAATATCAATGGCTTTAGGTTAATATTAATGGTTTTGAAAAAAGCCTGCATCAATGCTTTAAGGCTTGTTTCTTTGCAAGCAACATTTTAGTAGGCTTTATTATAACATCTTTATGTTTCTTATCAGCTGCCCCAACCACATCTAATTATGGTGAAATAGACTTGCTTGGTTCTCTATCAGACTCATTCTCTTCAAATGCACTGCCTCCTGTGCCAGATACATCAGCAACTGCAACCCCTGAAGCAAACACTGGTTCAACAGCTTCCTTTGCAGCTCCATCATTTGGGTCCAATAATTTCAATCAGGTAGGCATCTGAATGATTATTTCTACGTTTTAGTTAAAGAATTTTTTTCTTTTTATGTTTTGAGACAGTACCAAAAAAAGAGAATTGATTTGTTAAATTGTTAATTCTCATTCAAAATAATCTCTCTGTTGGTTCAACTTTTGGCAGTCTTATGAAGATCCATTTGGTGATTCACCATTCAAGGCCGATACTTCTGCTGAAACTGCTCCATCTCAACAATATGCACATCAGAGTATTGAACCATCCCAAGATGGTTTTAATGCTGACACAATGTCTAACTTTGGGTTTGGGGACTCATTTTCTATTGTACCGTACTCTGCATCTGCTCCCAGTGACACCCAACCTTTCTCTGCTAGCTCCAACTTTTTGTCCCAAGAGTCATTATCTCAACAACTGGAAACTGATATTCTTGCTGACATTCTTCCTCCTGCACCATTACCTGAGATGACATCACAGCAAAACAGTTCGTCTCCTTTTGGCCAACCTTCACCTTCCTTTTCAACTTCATCTGGACCATTTTCTGAACCAGCGGGTCAACTTACTCTGCCAGGTTTCTCAGCTGCAACCAGTCAACCTGCACAAACCCTTCCCAGTGGTCAATTTCCCCAGCAACAACCCTTTTCAACTCCTAATTCATCTTTTCCAGCTACCACCAGTCCATATACACAAGGACAGCCACCCTTTCCTTCTCATTCTGGTCAACCTGGCATGCATGGATTTTCATCATCTACCGGCCATTCTATGCAGGCACCTTATGCTTCTCAAGGTGGTCAATCTGCACAATCAAGTGGTCTTACCTATGGTGGATTGTACTCCCTGGATACATCTCTTGCTCCCGGAGCTCCAAACATGTATTCTCAATCACAAAATGGATATAATGGGTCTATGAACAGTGGGAACTACTTGCCACAAGGATCCTCTACAGGATTTCCTTCACACATGACTCCCCAAGCTCCAACACCACAACCAGCACAACAACCGGCACAAATCACAAACTTTCCCCATCATGGAGGATCTACCGGTTCTCCTTCCCAGAGCCAGGGCTTCTTTGGGCAACAAGGGAATGCAGCTCCCTTAAGTTCATCATATACCCATCAAGCCCCTGCTCCTAATGCTTCACCATATGCGGTTTCAACGACATCAAATTCTTTAGTTTCTCAAGCTCCCTTAAGTTCATCATATACCCATCAAGCCCCTGCTCCTAATGCTTCACCATATGCGGTTTCAACGACATCAAATTCTTTAGTTTCTCAACCATCCAAGGATAAGTTTGAGACAAAATCAACAGTTTGGGCAGATACCCTTAGCAGGGGGCTTGTTAATTTAAATATATCTGGACGTGAGTGCTTATACTTTTGTCAATACTTTGTTTCTGATATTGAGTTAGAATATTGATCTTATATGGACAAACTATTAACTATTATGCTTTTTTTTTACATGCAGCTAAAACTAATCCATTATCAGATATTGGGATTGACTTTGAGTCCATTAATAGGAAGGAAAAGAGACTGGAAAAGCCCACTAATACACCTGTAACATCAACCATAAATATGGGTAAAGCTATGGGATCAGGTTCAGGCATAGGCCGTGCTGGGGCTGGTGCTCTCAGACCTAATCCAAACTCGATGATGGGTCCTGGTATGGGCATGGGTATGGGTATGGGCAATGCTCCGGGTGGTATGGGTATGGGAGGTTATGGAGGAGGCATGAATCCATCCATGGGTATGGGTATGGGCATGGGTGGTATAGGGGGAATGGGTATGGGACAACAAGGTTACCCGATGCAGCCCCCTACAGGAATGCCTCCTGGTTCCAACATGCCAGGAAACTATAATAACAACATGATGGGTCCGGGTGGTTATGGTCAACAGCCTTCCGGTGGTTATGGTCAACAGCCTTCCGGTGGTTATGGTCAACAGCCTTATGGTGGATACAGATGAGATTGAATATTATTCCTATAAATGAAAAGGTGAAATATTGTTAATTGTTTTGCTACAAGCTGAAGAGAAGCCATTTCGATACGGGTGCCTACTAGTAGTCCACATCGACATTCAGATTTTATAGTAGTGTATCTTTGAAGTTGGAATTTTCTGTAAAGTAAGTGACCCAGTGTGGTGTATGTTTATTCTTGTTATAAATGTGCTATTACCATTTTTTCTGTTTTGGGGTCACCCTTCTGTAGGGTGCTTTGAGCATCAGTGTTGTGTACTAGTGACAGGATATAATAACCTTACTTGGGTTATTACTTCCTTTGAATGTTCCTCATTTTTTTGAACACACCAACAGGTGGTTTGATATGATATATTAATATATTCTTTTTCTCATTTTGCCTTTTACATTTATCTCAAATTTAAGGATACCAGCTAAATGGTTAATCTTTTTTCATGTATTGGAGCTGTTGATTTCATGCCAAGAGTTCATTAATCTGTCCATAAGAAAACGTGGAAAAGGGGATTATACATACTTTTAATGACTCATTCGATTGATGGTGTTGTTAGCATGCTATGATAATAACATATGTTAAATGAACAATTGATCTTCCATTTTAATCCACATAGCATGAAACTGACACATTAGTTTCGTGTTAATAACTAGTTCTAAGTATGTTAAGCAATTCTACATAAATTCCAAATGCCTTCAATAATTTTACACTTCCAAGAATATATTAACCAATTGTAAAATGCAGAAATTGTGTTCCAAGATGCTCACAATTTTGATGGTTGTTTATCAAATCACTCTAGTTTGAAGTGTAAGTGGCTATCATACTTTTGGTGACAAATATAATGTGCTTTTCGTGTTGACACCAAAGTCTTGTGTCTAACGCTTCCCTTTACAAAATTTTAACTTTTGATTATTTTCTTTAAAACTACTTTAACTCCATAATCGTGATTGTATTTTAAAGGTCAATTATTTCAATACTAGTAAGTATAAAGTTGTTTAAAATTAGGGAATTTCTTAGTACACTTCTTATAGATGAAAAGAACTTTTGAAAATCCGAAAATACTGTTTGAAAATGTATCTCCGAACGCACCTTAAATTAAGGTGTTTCGGAGATGTATATTCGAATGCGCTCAAAATTAAATTTTAGTTTGGACATGCACTTCCGAAAATATCACGTTTCAAGTCAAATGTTAAATTTAAACATTCAATTATGTTTTTCGAAGTGTATTTCTGAAATTATGCATATATAATATTGTTGCACAAACTATTTCATTTTCTTCAACTCATTCCATAATTAAAATTCTCTCACAAACTTAATTCATTGTCAATCAATTTTTCGTCTCTAAATCAAATTTCAAGTGGTTTATCATGTCAAAGAGAGCATAGAAAACTGCAATTTAAGGTAAATTTTATTTATTTCATCCCTCAATTCTTTGCATTGATGTTGATTTTTGAAATGAAAAACTGCGTCAGTTCGAAAATGTATTTCCGAAACTCACCTAACATATTTCAGAAATACATTTTCGAAAATATGTTTGTGATAGAAACATAACTACTTACAATTTTTCTATTTTTTTGCCCGTGTGTTTCCGAAGGATGTTTCAGACAACGTGAATAATGATGCTAAGCCAGATGAGGTGAAGAATAATATTAAATCGATTGTTGTCGACATAGATGTTGAAGACCAATTTGCAAATGATCAAGTTTTCAATAACCGACAACACTTGCTTGATTCGGTCCGAATGAGAGCTAGCAAATTCGGCTTTGGTGTTGTGATTGGAAGGTTCGACAATGTTACTAGTAGAAGGAAAGCATTTGTAACCATGCGATGCGAGAGAAGAGGAAAATATGTTCTAAAAGTTTGGAATTTAAAACATGATGACAATAGATCGAGAAAATGTGAGTGTTCGTTCAAATTGCACGGATTATGTAGGGTGGATGATACGTGGCAATTTTCTGTCATTTTCGGTAAACATAGTCATTCATTGAATACCAAACTACAAGGTTATCCAATTGTAGGCCTACTTAAGCCAGAGGAGAAGGAAATTATTTCGGAATTGACGGTGCATAAGAAAGATTACCTACGACTATACGAGAACAAGGAACGTTTCAAAAAAATTCACCATGCTCTTACCGGTTCTGCACTACCTGATAAGTGATGTGCTTCCTTGAAATGGGTCATCTTATAAAAATTTCATATGACAGTGTGTGTATCAATCTCACGAGATATGGTTTTTCGGAGATATTTTTTCCACTACGAAGTCGCCCACCTAAATACTCATCCTCCCGCATCATCTGTATTGAGTATCTTCGTTCGCTCTATTTTGTTCAAGTATTTCAAAGCCGTGGTGTTCTATTCCGACTACGTCAGTGCAATGGATAACACATTCCACAAAAGAGGCAGAAACTTGGCCGGATAGTTTTGTGGAAAGGACGATCGAATTCTCCAAGTTGTCGAAACTTGAAAAAGAATCCAATAGAGAGAAGTCGAAGAAAGAAGCAATTTAAGATTTAAGTGGTAGCCATTTGTTCGATACATTTTAGAATGTAATAAAACCATTTTTTGTATGTATTGTCGTGCACAATATAATCGAATCATTTTGGAATGTATCTATACGATTCAATACATATATAATGTTTCTATTCAAGATTTTATCGATTTATACATTATACTGACTTATACTTTTACCGATTAAATTGTGAATTTATCTTTGAATGATTTTAATTCTGCCAACATAGAGTTCTGTTTCTGTATATTTTTGTCTTTACATAATTCAGAAATACATCTCCGAAAGTTTTAAAAAATACAATCACAAAATGTTTCTGAACTGAACTTCCAAAAACATCCTAATTTTGTTAAAAAATCAGGGATTGTTTCAGAAGTGTATTTCCGAAATATGCCCTGACACAGGATAAGATTTCTTAGAATCACATTGCTCCGAATCTACTATAAGTAAGGTGTATAAACCATTTCTTCAAGATCACTCACCACAAATCAGAAATGACACAATCATATTCTCACCTTACTTTTGTTTACTTCAACGGTGCGATGCTGCCATATCAATTTCGGTTATGCGTGTGTAGCGGTTAAATCAATGAAGTCGCCACCGAGTATTTATTTATCCCATACAAATGAAAAGGAAAATCATCTAAGAAAAACCTAAAGGGAAAATCAAGGTCTTGCCACCGAGAGATTGGGTAAGGGAGTCGATTATGCGAGGGGAAGGTATTAGCACCCCACACGTCCGTAGTACTCTACGAGATCCACTCTTGTTGTTCTAATCAAATGGTATGTTCAATATAATGCTTAAGAGTTATAAACTAAGATGGAATGCATGCAACGAAAACACGGGGAAAAGAAGAAAATATTTACAAATTTTCGCTCGACTGAACCCCGGGACCAAATGCCTACGTATCCCTTTTAAGGAATCAGAGCGTCGTAGTCCGACTTCAAATTTTTTTATTTGTTTGTATTTTTTAAATGAACAATATTGAATTTGATCATTCCACCACTGCTCAACCTTTGGAGACTTATGACCTGTAACGGAAAGAAACTAACATGCTCTTAGAAGAGGAAAGCCGAATGGCGAAAAGAAATGGATTGGTTTGTATTTTTACCATGAAAATAATTTTTGTATACTTAGCATTTTTTATACATTTGCCAAGAAAAAGAAGTTTTAGTTTTAAATGCGGTTATACAAAAATAGGAAGAAAACATCTATTGGAGACTAATCTATCTCTAACCTAATGTTATCATACAATGATTGATCCTAAAGTTGAGCTTTGAAGGGAAATCTCTACCCTAAGTTGACATGCTTGGATAACAGTCCTAATGACTATCTCAACTCATCATCTATAGATGAATCAAGAAGTCCTAAAGGAGCATAACAAGAGTCTATCATCTCAAAACATGCACACAAAGGCGAAATTAAACAAACATGACAATAAGCTCAAGAGAGCATACCTAGAGAGATCCTATCTAGGTTAGCATGCCAAAGAAAGTCTAACAAAACTATCCTATGGGGAACATACAATGAGAGCGAAGTCATGATCTCAATTTCTAAATTGAGTGACTCATCGATCAACAAGAAATAAAGGAAAGCGATAAAATCCTATAGGAAGCATGCACTGGGAGCGACGTCGTGATCTCAATTTCTAAATTTAGTGACTCATCGATCAACAACCAAGGAAACAAACACAAGCACAACACATATAGAAAATGAAGCGCGGAATGCCTGCTACAGGTCTTTAAACGATGACTTCGAGCGCACACTCTTTATTTCCTTCTTCCTATTTCACATGATTTCTAGAAAGCGATAAGTGCAAAAATATAACTTGGAAGCAGTATAATACCAAACGAACAATAATGTCCGTAAAAAGCGCAACTAAAGAAAAGAAATCCGGAATACTTTGCACGAGCTGTTGTCAACAAACAAACCGTCAGAGATCGAATATTCGGAATATGTATCGAAGCATCATCGATGTGAAAATAAATCACAATCAGAAACTCCAACATGTCCGCATATCAAACAATGAACCTGTATAAGACTCAACTCAACAAGCAAAGGTGAATCATAAGTCTCAAGTAATCGAAAAATTAGGAATTAATTTCCTAAAAATCAAATGAGAAATCTAACAAATTTTTATTGATTTTTGTAGTTTATTACCAAAAAAATAAATAAGAGGCATTCCTAAAATCTATATTTTTTATTGTTTTTATTATATGTATTTTATTACTATTTTTATTATACAAAAAAAATTTAAACTAAAAAGACAAAATCTACAAAAACAAAGGATGTAGAAAGAGTCAGGGGGTGTGGAATCTGATTCCCGTGGTGCAGTAAGGAGATTTAGCGTTAGGCCCAGCTTGTAAGCCCAGCTTGTAAGCCCAACATACCATTTTTTGTATAGCTTCAACAAAAATCTATTTCCATAAAAATGGCCACGGGCCTTGGTGAAGTGCAACTCCGTCCAAACACCATATTTCCAGCCCAACCCTTTTTGTTTAAATCATTTTTTATTTAAGCTGGAACAGAAGAATAAACACAAAATGCAGAATGATGCGTTTAGGGGAATCATATGGTTCAAGAGAGTTGTGACTTTAGAACTTCTCAAACACTATTAAGATTCATAGCCTTCCCTCTCTTGAACGGCGCGGAAGACTCTACCGCTCGCCTCTGATGCCACGCCGTGAGCAACCTTCACGTGCTTCTGTTAATCTCTCTTCATCGATTTCTCAATCCGGCGATAAGAACACCATCATCCGCCAAGAAGAGCGTGTTTTTGATCTGCTTCAGTCGCGACTTCATCGTCTTCTTCGCGTCTTGTCACTCATGGATCTAGTCTCGATTCTCGGATTCCGATCCAATTGCGGGCCTCACCATCTCCGACCTGATCCCCTGATTTGCTTCACGCACAATGCTATAGCTCTAATTCCGCCAATAACTCGTATTTAAAAACAATGACTACAATACTCATAACTACAATCCTGACAAAGCGTAGAGGCAAAAAGGGAAAGCGTATTACCGGCCGGAATAGCTCCGATGACCTTTGGATCTTTACGACGATGATCAGAAAACCAGAGTGGAGTCTTCAGCCAGGTACGAATATCACAAAATGCTTAATTCCAGTCTTTTCCTCCTTCCTGTTGTGATTTTTCTTACTGCGCGAATTGATAATTGAAGGAGATCGAAAAGCTTGAAGAATTCGTTGATGCTGAATCAAATAGTAGTTGTTGTTGATGCAAAGTGAAAAGGAGTTGAAGGTAGTTTGAAGATGTGAAGTAAATGCTGATGATGTTGTTACGGTGGAGGGTTGAAGAATTGCTCCAGAGAAATCTTGAAGATTACAGGTTGTTGAAGACTTTAGGTATCGTGAATGAAGGTTCAAGATGAAAGGAGAGAGTGAAGGTTCAAGATGAAAAGAGAGAGTCCTTCGGAAAAATATCTGAGAGATTCAGAGGTGAATCTTCTGTTAACTTTTCTGTTTTCTGTTATGAATCAATCTCCCTCCTTGATAATTCTGTTACGATTCTGTTATATAGGTTGAAGTGAAAAGCTCTTAGCCATTGGATCCTGATAGAGTTTGTTACAGATCAATGCACGAGATCCTTTGGATCAAAAGTTTGTTACACCACTGAACGGTGGAGATCCAATCCTAATATGAGAGGTAACTTTTGTTATGAGCTCTATCATTCTGTTAATCTCTTTGCTGTGCTAATTTTCTGATGAACTAGCAAAAATCTGGAAGTTGGAGTTAGTTGTTAGTCAGTTAGAAGTTAGTTTAGATTCAGTTATGAAATTCTGTTAGTTCTGTTTTTTTAGGAGATTGATGAGCTGACGCCTTTGGCTATAACACTTAGAGGTGAATTTCAGCCCGACTTGAATTTCTGGAAAACAACTTGGGTGCAGGGCATTTTATCATGGTCTGGTATGGTTTTGAGAAGAGTGCAGGGATGCTTATTTGAGCTTGAATCTATTTTGAGGAAGTATTGATTTGGTTTAATGTTGAACCGTTTTTATTTGGTGCAGGAGTCATGGTTAATGTATGGACTAGTTCGAACTTGAATTACAGCTTGGTCATGAAGTAGTAGAATAGATCCTTGTACTCAATTGAATTTTAGGCAGGATTTGAGGGACATTCGGGTGTGTAGTTTAGGGGTGTGCATGGTTACCATATTTTAAGAACCAATCCATTTTAATGGTTGTAGTTTTAAAACTAAACCATTTTTTATAATAACCAATTTAAAATTGCAAAATGGTTTCAATTCGGTTCAAAACCGGTTTAAACTGGTTTTCAATCAAAATTGATTTATAAGGAAATTGTATCTTTCTTAATTTGAAGAGACGGAAAAAATTCAGGTTAATGAAGGGAACAAGATGCAAAGGCATGTGTCATTTTTATACTATTATATTCAAACACCAGCACAAATCGTTTTTCACAATTTTTTTTGAAAAGCAAAAAAGTAAAATTCAATTTAAGAGTAAAAACATTACACTTTAATCTATGATAAAGTTGCACCAGAACACTAAAATTAGAACCCAAAAAAACTAAAACAAAACATCCTAAAACCAAGACAAAATATGCTTCAAAACAATTGCTACACTATAACAGTTAAACAAAAAAACACAGATTAACAATCGTTCATCACAATTAACTTAATAAGTTTTTCTTCCCTTAACTAATCACCACTCTAATTAACTAATTAATAATAAATAAAATAAAATATATAAACTAGTTTTCCATTTTCAATTTGAATATTATATAAATTGATTTACACGAATTTGAATTTCCTGTGCCTTAATAATATCTTATTCATTAATAATAATATCATATACATTTGGTTTTATGTATGACAACTGGTTATCAAAAATGGAAACCAAATTTTTGTTTTGATATCAAAATAGATCTGGAGCGGTTCACATCCAACACAAATTGGATTATAAAAATTGGTGCACTGAATTTTTAAAATTGATTCGTGTAAACCAGTTTTTTTGCACACCCCTAGTGTAGTTTATATACAGAGGCTGCTGAGCTTTTCTTTCATTGAACTACCGTGTACCCACAAACTGTTATGAACTGGTCCCCTGATCATAAACTGGTTTCCTCTGATTGTTGTTTGTGAACTTGATGCAGGGACCTGTTTTGCGTTTGGATTAGAGTAGTGAAAATCCTAATATATATGTTTTGGCATAATGATACAGACCTATCCTTCTTAATGATGATATTCATACAAGTTTTAAGGAGCACAATTTAGCAAGGCAGCTTAACATGATCTTGATGCAACCTTTTTGTGAACATTGAGATTTGGATAAGGAAAGCAAGGAACAGGCTATGAATTTAGGACTTAGGAGCTCCAAGTTTCTTTTTCTTTTGTATCATGTAAAGAGAGCTATTTAGATAGTTGATTGTAATTTGAAACATTTATGAACAAAATTTGGTTCTAAATTCTATTCCCTTCACATCTAAATCCTCATATCCTTTTTCAAAATTTCAATTTGTAATGAGTCTTGTACGAAACCTTTGGCTGTAACTTGTAACTTCACTTTAAAGCACTACATTTCCTTTTCCAACTTTGCAAGCATTAAACGCTTCTGATTTATTTGAACACCTTTAGGCGACTTGAATGAACAAAAAATTAATCCAAATCTCTTTATTTCTTAAATAAACTCTATCTTCAAGTCTCAGGCGACCACATTCTGGCATTTCAAGCAACAAAATGTATTGATAAAAATAAATCCACAAGCTCATCTCAAGCCCTTATACTTATACTTCAATCTAATATGACAAAAACATGCCTTGAATATTAGAAGATGAATGGTACTTGGAGCATAGAAAGGGGACATATGACCATGAAACCCCTAAGTTCAATGAACCTCAATTTTCAATTGGGTCAAAAAATCCAAGCGACCACTAAATCCCTTTTTTTTGAGAAGGTTGATGAGATCTTAACCCAGAGCTTGAGCATTATGACACGCCTTGACTCGATAAAATCCTAAAGTAAAACCTTAACCACTTGACCAGCATCACAATAGAAGGAAGACCCTGATTCAATCATTTAAGCCTCTTGAGAAGGGTTGACTTATGGTGTAAGCAATTAAAAGGAACCCTAAATGATGATGATGAAATCACAATAAGGAACAAATGATAATCCTCGTAGCCTTAAGGGAAAAACTTAACATGATGAACCTCTGTTGAAGATCTAATACCAAGCTCAAGCATAACATAGGAGAAACCCTAATTCTTGACTTTTGATGACCATTGATGAAGAAATGGCCTTGTATCTTGAGGAACTTTGCTAACGAAGATGTCTATGATGCTTGTGGTCTAAAACCCTAATCTCATGCTAAGAATGATGAGAGCACCAGTTGAATCAACTTTGAGTAAGGTAGAGACCTCAGTCCATAGAGAAAAACCTTAATGCCAAAAATACTTTGATCCCGTAACCATGGAACCGATGATATGTATGAGATTTATATGATGTGATGAGGGATCTTAGGGGAAAAAATTAGGGTATAACAGCTGCCCTTATTTAAGTGTCTTCTATCCGGAGATACGAAGGTTAAAATTTTCGTCTCGATGTGTTTAAAGATATTTAAATATAAAACAAGCCCTATTTTTGGCCCTAAGATGCCATGAGATGCTCATGATTATGGATGTAAAATATAAACTTCATGCAGGTGAATAAAAGACACTAGAGAAGTGAAAATAAAATCACTAGACTAACAAAAAGAAGTCGACCAGAAAAATAAATCTCTAGGGAACAACACGACTCTGGGGACAGAAATTTGAATCCATTAGAGACAAATTGACTCCGCTGGGGAAAAGAAGACTCAACTTTACTGGGGTAAGGTCTAGAGAAGATACAAAATAACATCAACTCAACAAAACAAGAATAACAACGATTAACCGGTAACTGTGAACTATCCACTCATAGAGAAGATAGCAAAAAGAGAGTAACATCAACACAAAGGATCGATAACTGCTAAACAGAAGGGCGCAAACAGAAACGATAAAGATAATATCGGATCAAAGATGACGATAAACATCAACACCTAGACTGGTTAAATGAATGATTAATATCAGTGCTTATGCCTAGTAATCAAAGATTTTACGTCAGCACCTATGGTTGGAAACAACTCAACTCAATTGGAGTAAGGTCCAATAAGGAGAAAGAGATAGATGTTTCCTAAGAATGGTAATGAACTACCCACTCAAGGAGGAAGGTAGAAAAAACATAGGATAATACTGACTTTTATTGAAGGTAAAGAAATAGAAGATACACCAACGTTTATTGAAGGTGAACTACCGACTTCCATTGAAGGTATAGATTAAAGAATAACACAAACATTTACTGAAGGTGAACTACCGACTTTTACTGAAGGTAGGGAGAAAAGAGAATACACCAGCTTTTATTGAAGGCGAGGTCTCAAAGAACAATAACGACTTTCCCAAATTTCTGGCATTCTACCTAGAGCGAGTAAAAATACAAGCTATCTCAAATAAAGAGACTACCACTTGCAATGATTTCACAACAAACTTCTCTTGCAAAACTTCGTCGAAGAGATACCATTTGATGGAGAATCAGATAAACTTCCCCTCGATCCTGACCATAAGCCACAAACTGGTCTCAATTTCTTCTTTAACCAAGATGTTTCACCTGAAAAGGGTAATATATGTTGTAAGAATCTTTCAATGAACTGTCTTTATCATTGAAGCACAACCAATCTCAACAATGAACTATCTCCCATAATAAAGAGACTACCATTCATTGGAGTAACACATTTCAACGATGAACTATCTCCCATAATGACGAGACTACTATTCATCGGAATAAAAAACTTCATCAAACTAACTATCTCCCATAATGACGAGACTACCATTCATTGGCGTAACAAATTTCAACGATGAACTATCTCCCATAATGACGAGACTACCATTCATTGGAATACAAATC